CTTTCATTAAGATTCTGTGTGCAAATTCAGTGCAAAACTTAGCTTTTAAGAGTACTGCCCTGCCCAGACTCTCATTTCAATGTGAATAAGTTGGAGGCCTAGGATAAAGGGGGCTTTCCAAGGTGGCGAGACAAAGCCGAATCAGTAGCAGCACTAGGCCTTGAACCCAACCTTGCCACTGAAGTCTGCTGCATGCATGCCTCCGTGCCCTGCCCACAAGTACCATCCATGTCAGTTGGGAGGGTGCGGGAAGCTACAGCCATGCTTCATGATGCGGTTACTTTTCATAAGGAAAACAAATGTCTACATATAGAACAATAAACGATACAGAGAAATTTAATAAGAGTTCAGAGGAGGATATACTAGTAAAGGAGAGATTCATTAAACTCCGAGTCATGGCATCACAGATGGTTTGATCTGATTCTTAACAACCACATATTCTAAGTTCATGATTTTATAGATGGTGAAACTGAGGGCTGGAGGTGAAGTGACATAGCCTTGCATGTCTGAGTTGTTACTCTGAGCTTATAATTAATTTGGCAGAACCTTTAGATAATGAGTTCATGTTCAGTGACCCTAATGTCACAGGTGACACTAAGTGACATTAATGGACAGCAGTGAGAAGGGGTGACTTTTGAGGCAGGGAAATCAAAGACAGCCCTGAGTGTGCCCACTGGAGGGTAAGAAGAAGTCACATGCCTGGAGGGGTGGTTCTGTGTCCACAGAAAAGTGAGATACACTCATGGGAAAAATCTGGGCTGGACTGTGGTGAAATGGCAGCCACTGTGGATTCTAGAGCTGGGCGGGGATGTGGTGGAAGCAGTACTTAGAAGATGAGTCCAGGTTGGTCTGGACTAAAGGTAGAAAAACCAGGAATACAGGTCCAATGATTGTTAAGAATGCAAAGTTACAGTTTAAAGAATAATCTACCAGAACTTGCTGATAAAGCAGATTCAGTCAGGAGATTTGGGAGAAGTGGTCAATGATCCTCAGGTTTTTGAATCTCATTGGCTGGAGGAAGATTATGTCAGGGAGAGAAATAAAACTGGGAGGAAGAATGGGCCGAGGGGGCAGGAGACAGTTAATTCGACCTTAGAGATCCTAGGTTGGGCGTTACGGCAGGGTATCTAGAGGGGGAGTCCTGTAGCCTAACGGAGGTAATCTGGGGTGTTCAGTCTGGGCTTCAGGAGGAGTAGACCAACATGATTATTGCAATTGTGGAAATGGGTGAATTGAAACTCTGGGAAACGAGAGAGAAGTGCTTAGGACTTTAACTTGTGGCTTCCAGCCTTAGGGATGCCCCCAAAGGGAGGGGACAGTCTATGGCATCTGAGAAGAGGGCATGGAGAGGTGTGAAGGTGATCAGTGGCAAGGGTTCCTTGGGGCAGAGGCCAAATATCAGAGGGATCAAGAAGGAGTCCAAATTTGGTGCCACAGAAGCTAACGTTGGTCTTGGAGAACATATTCATGCACGTAACGTGTAAGGTACCAAGGAAAGGGTAGGAAGAGGGTGGTGTGCAGATAGCATGGAGGATGTCCGGGTGCTGGTGTTTGATCCAGGACAGGCAAACTGATGAGTTCTGAGATAGCCAGAGGCAGCGTTCAGGAAGGGGCACAGGACAAAACTCAGTGAAAGGCCACTGGGGGCAATAGAGAAGGACAAGTTTGGGGATGGAAAGTGTGGCACACAGGAAGAGACTGAGGCAGCTGCTCAGCAACAGAACCCCTAAGCTCCCTGTGGACTAGACATGGACTTTTCACTCTTTCTCACTCCTCCACACTCTAGGGGAGACACTGGAATTTGAGGCTGTGCCAGGACCAGAGGCTTCTGGGGCCCCAGGGGATCCAGCTGGACAACCTGCTCTGAATTTCTGCTGGCTCATTGAGCTGACCAAGAGTGAGAGTCATCAGTCCGCCTGTCCAGCTTCCCAAAGGTGCTTCACTTGGTCTGTGCCAGCCAGGCTTTGGCACAGCCACCAGGATGCCCGTGTTTCTGCTGCCATAACCAAAGGACCCCCGGTTGTCTGGCTGAGAGAGAGCACAGCACCAAGCGGGCTTTGTTGAGGCCACGCTGCTGTGGGCCTCCCTGGGCTGGGGGATCACCTAGTGCTTTGCTACTCAAAGTGGGTTCCAGGGACCAGCAGCAGTAATGTCACTTGGTTGCGTGTTTGAAATAGTCTCAGGCCCCACCCTAGATGGAGGGAATCAGAATCTACATTTTAATGAGAGGTGTAACTGATTTATTTATATATTCATCAAAGAGAGACGGACTGAGCTGGTCTAGCAGTCCCAAGGCCGACTGATCACTGCAATCACTTCAAGCGCAGGAAATACCCTTCCTCAAGGGCCCCCAGGGGATTCAGAGGGCAGGCACTTTTGAGAGCCAGTTAGTCTAACTGAACACCTCACTTAAAAAAATTAAAACTTACTTTACACTAAAAAGAAAATTCATATTCATATAGGAATAATGTTGAGGTGTTAAAAAAACAAAACCACTCACGATCTCGTCACCGCAGGTCATGTGGGCGGTTTGCTTCTCTGTGTATCTTGGAATGCATGTGGGTTTAAGTGAAATCATAGCATGTATTATTTATGTCTTGCACTTTTTACTCAGTATATTTTTAATGATTTTTGTTGTATGTTCCCATTATCATCCAGTCCCCTTGTATCTCCCTCCCCACCCGGCACCACTCTATTGTCCATGTCCACGAGTCCTTTTAGTTTTTTGCTCCATCCCTCCGTCCCTCCCCTCCCCACCCCTTAGCTGTCATCCTGTTCTTTATCTATGAGTCTGTCTCTACGTTGCTTGTTAGTTCAGTTTGTTCATTAGATTTCACATACGAGTGAAATCATATGGTATTTTTCTTTCTCTGACTGGCTTATTTCACTTAGCGTAATGTTCTCCTGGTCCATCCATGCTGTCGCAAAGGGTAAAACTTTCTCTCTTTTCTTTTTTTATGGCTGAGTAATATTCCATTGTTGTAAATGTCCCATAGATGTTTTATCTACTCGTACTGATGGACACTTGGGCTGCTGCAATATCTTAGCAATTGTAAATAATGCTGCCATGAACATATGGGTGCTTATTTCTTTGAATTAGTGTTTACTTCCTTTGGATAATATTACCAGAAGTGGGATAGCTGGGTCAAAAGGCAGATGTATTTTCAATTTTTTCCTGTATTTCCATACTGCTTTCCACAGTGCCTGCACCAGTCTGCATTCCCACCAAGAGTGCACAAGGGTCCTCCTTTCTCCACATCCTCCCAGCACTTACTGTTTGTTGATTTATTGATGATAGCCATTCTGACAAGTATGAAATGATATCTCACTGTGGTTTTAATTGTCATTTCTCTGGAGACTAGTGAAGTTGAGCATCATTTCATATGTCTGTGGGCCATCTGTGTGTCCTCTTTGGAGAACTGTCTATTCAGATCTTTTGCCCATTTTTAATTGGGTTGTTGAGGTTTGTTTTGTATTTGTTTTTTGTTGTTGAGTTTCATAGGTTCCTTATAAATTTTGGATATTAACCCTTTATCAGATGTTTCAGTGAATATGTTCTCCCATTTTGTGGGTTGTCTTTTTATTTTGTTGATGGTCTCTTTTGACATAATTTTTAAATCAATAGCCTACCTATTATTTGGACACAACTTATTTCCAACTTCTCGCTATTGTAAAAAGTGATGTAGTAAACACTTTCATGACTAAATGTTTGGGCAACAGTTGAAACTACCAAGTACGCAGACGTCTTTCACCAGCATGCGTCCAGATCTGCACTCCTGCCCGTGCCCTGTTACCCTTCATTCGCGCCAACCCTTCAACTCTCACCACAAAGCTCAGGGGTAGGAAATGGGATGTGCCAAGGGTCCTAGTGGCAGATTTGGCACTAAAGTTGTCCCTGCTACACCCTCATTCTAATGCCCAGGCCCTGGAGGTTGGCGCTGCTGCAGTGGCCGGAAGACTGACATCAGCATCAACCTGTCCTCTCAGCTGCCCCCCAAACGCCCCTCCGAGCCACCCTCTCCCTCTCTGAGCCCTGCTACCCCCCCCACCTTCCTCTTTCCCACCTCCTCTTATTTTCTGCCCTCTTATCTTTTTTCTACTGTTTTCTTTTCTTGGTGGGAATCTTACCTACTTTGTAAACCTCAGCCTGAGCGATCCTTGCACTTTACTTTTCTGGGCTATTTTCCAACTCTTACCGCCCTCATGCCCTAATTTGCTCTGTTTCTTTTCAAACTGGATTCTATACCATTCTTTTGAAGGTCTTTTTAGGGACAGGCTACAGGGCAGATAACCCAGCTGAAGGAGAGGAGCTGCGTGATGCTCTGTGGTCTGGGCTTTATATGGGGACACAGGCTTCAGTGTAGAGCACTCATCCTCAAAAACACAAGTGTCTATGCATTGAGCCCATCCTGTTTCCACGTGGTGTAAATGAGGGGCTTGTTGGGCTTTGGATGGTTTCTTTTCCTTGGTCTCAGCAAGGCAACCCAGGCCCTAAGAATAATGCTCTCTAACTCTGCAGGGCGCCTGCTGTCCATCAGTGCTGGGTCCTCCCTTGCTTCTAGGGGTAGACTGCAGTGACTCTGTTCCACCACCGAAAAATGGGACAAGGTTTAAGTGGGCTCTTCCTCAAGCTGTGAAGCGAGAGCCCATCCTCCCCCTGCCCTCCCTCCGGCTCGGCCCTGGGAGGTGCTCCTGGCAATTTGGGGAAACTTGTTCTCCAGTTTTTCAGGGCTGGCACCAGAGTACAGTCACATGGTCACACCCAGCCAGCTCGACCTGTTCCCAGGTTGCCCCAAATGAGGGCTGTCAGAGCTACCTGGAGCTTGTACGGCAAGGGAGAGAGTTCTGTGGACTCTGACGGTCAGTTACGGAACAGCGGCCTAATGCGAAATTCCACCCTGTGACTGGGGATTTGGGGCACACTGGGTGTCTTCCCCCAGCCCCACTGCTTTCCTCTGACAACTCTTCCCTCCTTTCCCCCAGGAAGGACCAGTCACCCCTGCAAGAATGTGCTCCCTCCCCATGGCAAGATACTACATGTAAGTCCTTCCTTTCCTGATCAGGAGCCTGGGATGACATGGGAGGGGGAAAGAGGCTAAGTCAGAAGGACAAGGCTTCTTCTTACCTTAGAAACCTCAGGTGCCCCATAATTAAGCTTAATCACCACCCCTAATAGCAGAGGCTTTTTTTCCCTGGGCATCTGCAAAATGCCAGTCATTCCACTGTCTTGTCTCTACTCTAAGGAATCCAAGAGGTGTCACTAAGTTCACTTTACAGATCTGGAAACTGAGGCTCAGAGGTTCGGTGAGTTCCCTGATGTCCCCCAGGGCCAGGATACCCAGACTGCACATGCCCTGTGCTGTCCACCCTCTCTCTAAAGGCTCACAGACCAGTTCGAGTCTCGGTGACACCCTCTGTATGCTGGCCTCTGTGGCCCTTACTCCCAGTCTGGGTTTCCAAGTCCTACTTGTGTTTATCTCATTCGACATTTTGGTGTTTACTTACAGTTTACTCTTTACTGTCTGTGGTTTTTGCTGTAAATTGCCCCCAGCCCTTAGGGAAGAAGATGGGATGTAATGGAAATAAAATGTGTTAGCCTCTGGGGTGTCTTTCCTCAGCTCCTGCATGGGCCTCTTGTCCTGACAGGGGCCAGTCAGGGCCCCAGAAAGTTACAGTTTGGCTGGAAGGTGGGGCACATGCACAAAACATGCTAATGACAAAGCAGGCACCGTACCTTAGAGTATCTAGCTTGGGTGCAGGTCTCCAAATAGCCTGTTGCTGGCAGATGCATGGTATACAGTCTTGGTGGACCCGCTGGCAAGTTTGGGCTCCTCAGATCTTTATTTTTTTTATTGTATAAGTGAACTTGTGTTAAACACATATGGTCATTAGCAAAGGGCATTACAATTACCTGTTATTGAGAAAGGAAAAGCTTCTGGAGGCAATGGCCTTGGCCCAGAGCTTCTGCCCTAATAGGTAAATAAGCCTTCTTGGGCCTGAGAGTGGCTGACAAATGTCTTTGAAACCAGCCAGGCAACTGAACTAATAGCTGGCTTGGCTTTGATGTTGCACATGCTTGCTCACCAGGGCTTCTCCCCAACCCAAGGCACATAGCCGCCCTCTCAGGCCCATCGTTACAGCTGCAGCCGCGCCCAGTGACTGTCCACAGGCCCACTTTAGCTCTCTGCCGACCTCCTTACTCGTCACGCATAATGTGGGCACCCAGAGCTCACCTGCCTGGTGCAGGGGGCATGCGGCACATTTACCAGCACATAAAAATTTTTTCCAGTGGTGGATTTTCTCCAATTGAATAGTCTTTAAATATCCGAAAAGCAAATCACACTTCAATATACACTCAATTGATTCCTTTAATAAGACAACATCTATGAAAAATTGAGGCAGGCCCAGAAAACCTGGGATAAGGCTCCCTGTATCCCAGAGACATCACGGCCTCATGAGGAGACTTCTCTGGAAGGCAGTGGGAAAGGGCTACATCATCAGGAAAATTCTCTACCCCTCAGTGAAATGGCACTAGCTCCCTTCAATGCTTTGAAGGCCCTGACAGAGACCAAGCCTTGTAAAGGGCAGAGGTGCAGCCTCTGACAAGATCCAGGAGGCCTTTCCTGCCTTAAGATGACCTGGTCTTTACCTGCCCCCTTCGTACCTGTAGAAGGAGAAGAACCCCCAGATACTTAGTAAGGTGATCAGACTGTGGGCTTTTGGACTCAGTGGTGGCTGGAGGAGGTGGGTGGTCAGCATCACCTTCCTGTTTCAGAATTAAGGATGCAGATCAGAAGGCTCTGTACGTAAGAGACAACCAGCTCCTGGTGGGAGATCCTGACTCGGACAACTGCTGTGCAGGTGAGCCCTTGAGCCCCGACTGACCCACTGGGACTCTCTCAGGCTCCCTCTGCCACAGTCTCTCCCCTTCTCTCCTGCCTCTGGTGACAGTGAGAAGAGACAGGGAACAGCTGAGGACCTCTCCTAGTGAGAGGGTCATGACCCCAGAAGAGTCTCAGTTTACCCTGCAGCTTGCATGCAGGGTGTAGGCCAGCTGCACCCTGGCCCAGTTCCTGCCTGAACTTAGCTCTTGAGAGCTTGCAGTGTGGGTCACCTCACATCCTGGCTCTCTTCTCTCTTCCTTCCCAGAAAAGATCTGCATACTTCCCAACAGAGGCCTGGACCGCACCAAAGTTCCCATCTTTCTGGGGATCCAGGGAGGCAGTTGCTGCCTGGCATGTGTGGAGACAGCGGAGGGGCCTTCCCTGAAGCTGGAGGTGAGACATGTCTTGTTTTGGGGGACCCTGCGGACCTGCCTGTCTTCCAGGACACTCTGGCATCTCTGCTCCCATCTGTGGATTCCCTGCCAGATCCACACGTCCCCTCCTGTGAGTCTCCACCATCTCCCTCCGTACCCTGTGCCAAGACCCTTGCCCTCTAGAGTCCTCAGGAGGAAGTTCCCTGGTTAAAGACCCCCACCCCCATCCCATCCAGTCCCTCACTGGCTAAGCCCTGAGGCCTCCAGGCTGACTGCTTACTTAGCAGCCTCATCCTGCAGCCGGCCTCTTGCCCCCCACAGGATGTGAACATCGAGGACCTGTACAAGGGCGGTGAGCAGGCCACACGTTTCACCTTCTTCCAGAGAAGTTTGGGCTCCGCCTTCAGGCTTGAGGCTGCTGCCTGGCCTGGCTGGTTTCTCTGTGGCCCAGCAGAGCCCCAGCAACCAGTGCAACTCACTAAGGAGACTGAACCCTCTGCCCGCACTGAGTTCTACTTCGAACAGAGTCGGTAGGGAGTTAGAAGTCAGGGACTGTGCTCAGGGACTATGATAGGCAGAATAATGTCCATATTTGGGTGTCCATATCCATCCTTGGGTGTCCCCCAAAGATGTCTATATCCCAGTCCCCAGAATCTAGGGATATGTTACCTTGAAAGGCAAAAGGGACTTTGCAGGTGTGCTTAAGATAAGCATCTTGAGCTCTGGCTCTTGTGCTTCAGTGGATTGACTGCTGGCCTGTGAACTGAAAGGTGACTGGTTCACTTCCCAATCAGGGCGCATGCCTGGCTTTCAGGCCAGGTCCCCAGCTGGGAGCATGCAAGAAGCAATGATCAACATGCCTCTTGCACATCAGTGTTTCTTTCCCTCTCTTTATCCCCACCTTCCCCTCTCTCTAAAAATAAATAAATAAAATCTTTTTAAAAAGAGACAAGGATCTTGAGTTAGGGAGACCATCCTGGATAATGGCGGGGAGGGGGGATGGGCAATGTTCCCACACAGGTCCTCATAGAGGGAGGCAGGAAGGCAAGAGTCGGAACGACATTGGAATATGCTGTGCTGCTCATTTCATTTTATAAAATATTTTATTTATCTATTTTCATTTTTAATACATTTTACTGACTATGCTATTACAGTTGTCCTATATTTTTCTCCCCTGTATTCCCCTCCACCCTGTACCTCCCTGGCCACCAGCATTCCCCCACCTTAGTTCATGTCCATGGTCATACATATAAGTTCTTTGGTTTCTCCATCTCCCACACTATTCTTAACTTCCCCCTGTTTTGTACCTACCATTTATGCTTCTCATTCTCTGTACCTTTTTCCCCATCCTCTCCCCACCCTCCTCCTGCTAATAACCCTCTATGTAATGTCTATTTCTGTGATTCTGTTCCTGTTCTAGTTGTTCACTTAGTTCGTTTTTGTTTTAGTTTTAGTTTTTTTTTTTAGGTTTAGTTGTCTATAGCTGTGAGTTTATTGCCATTTTATTGTTCATACTTTTGATCTTCTTTTTCTTAGATAAGTTCTTTTAACATTTCATATAATAAGGGCTTGGTCGTAATGAACTTGTTTGACTTGACCTTATCTTAGAAGCACTTTATCTGCCCTTCCATTCTAAATGTAGCTTAGCTGGATAAAGCAATCTTGGATGTAGGTCCTTGTCTTTCATGACTTGGAATATTTCTTTCCAGCCCCTTCTTGCCTGCAAGGTTTCTTTGGAGAAATCAGCTGATAGTCTTATGGAAACTCCTTTGTAGGTAACTGCCTCTTTTTCTTTTGCTGCTTTTAAGGTTCTCTCCTTATCTTTAATCTTGGCTAATGTAATTATGATGTGCCTTGGTGTGTGCTTCCTTGGGTCCAACTTCTTTGGGACTCTCTGAGCTTCCTGCAAGTCTATTTCCTTTGCCAGATTGGGGAAGTTTCCCTTCATTATTTTTCTAGTAAGTTTTCCATGTCTTGCTCTTCTTCTTCTCTTTCTGGCATCCCTATGTTTCAGATGTTGAAATGTTTAAAATTGTCTCAGAGGTTGCTAAACCTCTTCTCATTTTTTTGAATTCTTGTTCTTCATTCTGTTCTGGTTGAATGTTTCTTTCTTTCTTCTGCTCCAAAATGTTAATTTGAGTCCTGGTTTCCTTCCCTTCACTTTTGGCACCCTATTTTTTAAATTTTCACTTTGCATAGCCTTCATTTCTTCCTCTATTTGTGACTATGCTCAACCATTTCTGTGAGCATACTGATTACTAGTGTTTGGAACTCTGCATCTGATAGGTTGGCTATCTGTTCATCACTTAGTTGTATTATTTTTTTCTGGAACTTTGATCTGTTCTTTCATTTGGGTCATATTTTTTTGTCTGTCATGCCGGCTCTGTTGTAAGGAGCAGAGCCTTAGGTATTTGCCAGGTGGGGCAACCCACTTCACTGTGTTGTGGAACTGTATATGGGGGAGGGGTCTGAGAGGGAACAGTGCCACTTAGTCAGCTCTTGGCCAGCTTTCAGTCATTTCCTCCACTACCCACAAGCAAATTGGGCCATTCTGGTGCTGATTCCCAGGTGGGAGGTTTTATGTACATTCTAGGATTCTGTGGGTCTCTCCAATGACTTCTCCTGTGAGTCTAGGAGTTTCTCCCACTGCCTCAACCCCCACAGGTTTCTTTAGTCAGTGGTTTTGAGGCTTTATTTCCCCATGCTGGAACCCTGGGTTGCCCAGTCTGTCTTGCTCCCCAGTTGTTCTTCCTGGTTTATCTGCACGCAAATGTGGGACCGCCCACTCTGCCAGCCATGCCTTGCCCCAAGTCTTTTCCACCCCATCTGCCTGTTTTTGCCCCTCCTACTGGTCTGCATGAATATTTCCTCGTTAACTCCTTAGTTGTTGGACTTCCATACAGCTTGATTTTCTGGCAGTCCTGGTTATTTTTTGTTTTTAAATTTGTTGTTGTCCTTTTGGTTGTGCGAGGAGGCAAAGTGTATCTACTTATGCCTCTATTTTGGCCAGAAGTCTATGCTGCTGTTTTTAAAGGTGGTTCCCAGAAGCTGAAAAAGGCAAAGAAACAAATTCTTCCCTAGAGCCTCTAGAAGAAACCAGCCTGCCAGTAACTTGACTTTAACCCCACAAAGCTCATTTCTTGCATAAATGTGTTGTTTTAAGCACTAAGCTTGTGGTAGCTTGTTACAGCAGCTGTAGGAGACTGATACAAGGCCCCAGGCCCCTGTGTGCTGTGTCTAACGAACCTTGGTGAGTTATTAGAAGGCTGGCCACAGCTTCTCCTCCAGCCTTCCTGCTCCAGAGCTTCTAGGAACAGCCAAGAAGCTCCAGGCCAAACCCAGCTCTCCTCCTCTGTCCACAGACAAGGCCTCGGCAGCTTACAGTTTCAGGTTTCATTCAAGTCTTATGATTCTTCTGTCAGATACTTCACAATGTATCAGTCATTCAATCTGTTGATCAGTACCTTTATTTGTCTCCTAGTTCTGATGTGTGTAAGGAGCAAGGAGTGGCAGTGAGGGACAGGCACTGGGTTTCTACCTGACAGGTTGACTTGAAGTTTCCAGTGCAACTGATATGTTGAGAAGACTGATTACAGCTTGAAATACAGGACTGGAGAGTTTGTAATTAGAAGGGACTCTTGTCCTCAGAGTCCTGGTCACGTTCCATTCCACAGAGGATCTATGGAAGAGCTCCATGATCTGAGAGGGTGGGCTGCTGGCTGGTGCTTTTCCTCTCCAGTAAAACCACTCAACATCCATGCACAAATGCCGTGGACCAAGGTATTTCAGAATAATGTCTTCACCCAGAATGACCCTGCAAGGGAAACTGTTTAGTTACCTGCCACCTTTTCAAAAACCCTCATTTGAGGACTTTTTTTCATTGCTTTAGAGCAAGAATCCTCAACCCCTGGGCCTCGGACCAGTACCAGTTAGGAACTGGACCAGAACCAGGCTGCACAGCAGGAGGTGAGCAGCTTGCAAGTGAGGGAAGCTTCTTGTCTCCTCCCCCAGCCCACCCCATCCAGGGAAAAAGTCTCTTCCACAAGAGAAACATTGATGTGATAGAGAAGCATCAATTAGTTGCCACATTGATCGATTGCCTTCTCATACATACCCTGACCAGGGTTTGAACCTCCAACCCAGGCATGTGCCCTGACCAAGACTTGAACCTGGGATCTTTCAGTCTATGGGATGACACTCCAAGCAACTGAGCCACCTGGTGAGCACTTGAGCAACTTTTGACAGGTGATAAACCTGTACTAAGAGAAATGAAATAACTTGCTATACATGTGGGAGCTGAGGATAAAAGCTGGCCCATCTGAACCCAATGACATTCCACAATTGTTATTCTACTCTTATTCCAGAAGTTGGGAGTAGAATGGTGAACAAAACCAAGCTCCCTTAGAGTTGACAACTGAGTATGAGCCACGCTAAAGAAGCAAATGAACAAAAAATAAAACAAACAAGGACAATTTATTTGATAGAAAGTCAGGGCAGTAGGTATTCATGGTAGCAGAGAGGGTGGTCAGAGAGGTGACTCTGACTTTTTTGAGGAAGTAACATGTGAGCTGAGGCTGCAGGACAGAGAAGAGTGGGAGAAGGAATGATCCAGAGGAGGAGCAGCAAATGCAGAGGGTCTGAGATAGAGTGGGGCTTGGTCTTCACATACTGTAGAAGTCCAGGGCCACTGGAGCATGGAAGTGACGGAGAGGGTTGGGAGGTAAGCACAACCATAGGGCTGGATCAGAGGGCCTTAGAGGCAAAATAAGAACTTCAGTTCTTTTGTAAATGCAAAGAGAAGCCAAGGGAGGTTTTAAGTAGAGGATGGACACACTGGCTTCATGGCTCCAATGAGTCTAGATTCTTTTCTTGCCTTCAAATGGCCTGGTGTTTATGTGTGGGGACTATGCTGTGCCTTTTGAGGACATGTTTTGTTTAACTTTGGTTCAACAATGCACAGAGCAGCTGCTGGCACACCAGGAGGTGCTGAGAAAATGCAAATTCTTGAACAAATTAGTGGATGATCACTTGCTTCTTCTCAGATATGGCCCGAGGAGAGTTATGGCAGCAAGGGCACAGATTCCACTGCAGCACAAAGGAGAAGCCAGCAGAGGGGCTGGATATGACTTCAAAGGACAGAGCATTTAACCTGGTCCTCAGAGGAAAAGTACTTTTCCAGGCAGTGTAGGGAGGGGCATTCCAGGCAGCAAGAACGACTCAGAGAGGTGTAATGACAGAGAGCTCACCTGGTGCATGTTGAGTCATCCACTTGGCTGGGAACCAGGGCTTATGGCTGAGAAGTTGCTGAAAACTAAAATGGGAAGATAGGCAGGACCTGACTGTGAATGCCTTAGAAGGAGGTTAAACTTTATCCAGGAGGCTTGAAGGAATCATCCAAGTATTTCAAGTCAGACCTGGGTTTTAAGCCTGGGCCCTAGAAGTCAACAGTGTACCCACCAGATGCTATTAGGGCTTTAGCTCAGCCAGTTCCCTCTCATTTCCTCCTCCTCATGCACATGCCTTTGGCTTGGCAT